CGCGAACGGTCTCCTCTCGCGCGATATCCGCGATCGACGTACGACGATCGTCGTTGGAACGAACCACGCGTCGCGGACGTTTACGTGAAATTTCACGTTTCAAAAACTCGTCTATGGCTCGTATCTCGTACGATCCCTTGGAAATCGTAATTTCCGTGTCATCCTCGTCGAAATAAAATTTATTATTCAAAGAATTCACGTTCGGAATCGTGTGATAAATCTCGAAACACGTTAAACCGAGCTCGTAGTCACCGTCGCTCAGATCCACGGCGGGAAAATAGTGCTCCGCGAGGATGCTACTCTTCCTGGTCAGCGTAAACGTTATAGACATATCGGCGGAAGCTGGTCGACGAACACTGAGTCTCCGCACGGCGCGTCGTCAGGTTTTAAATTAGCACCGATCGTCATCGATCGTCCGGAGAAATTGCAAGCACAACTGGCCACAGATGCTCTGATCGTAGCGCTGATAAGACGTGTGATTGTACTCAATTTTTGTCACGCTCGGTCCGAAATATCGCACCAGTTCTTTCAGTGGTCGAAGATTGCCGAAACTGTCGAAATATACGACTCGATCTCCCCTCTTGGCGTACGCTACCTAATGAGTACCGGAGCCGGCTGCATCGTCCAAATTCACGATACCGCTCTCGTTTCGACGTACGCCATCGACGATCGGTAACGAATTACGCACGAAAACACCTCTGAAGAACAGTACGCGCATTTGCCTTGCCAGTCGACTCAATTGTACGTTAGTCGTAACACCCGTGAGCATATTTAACGTCTTCTTTGATGTTTTTTTTTTAATCTTCAACGCTACTCCTCGCCCGCGTTTGTGCGGGCCGAGATACAGTCCTTGTCCATATTTGTACGGAGCGAGATAAAGTCCGCGACCTTCCATGGCGCGATTGTGACGTTGCGTCTCTTCCAGCTGACGTCGCGCGGCTTTGCTAGCGTTCATCGCCGTTGTAATTCCGGCCGCTCCGCCGGCCAGAGAACCGAGAACTCCCAACAACGGTAGAATCGGCAATACGACGCCTCGTTTCGCTGCCGGAAGTATCCGTTTTTTTGAATCCGCTCTCTTCTTCATCTTAATCTTCGACTGCGTTTTCGCCTTTGCCTTCGCCTTTATTTTCAAACCTATTCCGAGCTTTGTCTTAGCCTTCATGGCCGCCCAGACGGCTGTAGCGGCAGCTCTCTCTCAGAGAGTCGAATCTCTCGCGATGACGCGTCCCAGCGCTCTTTCGGCGAGTATCTTGTCCGCCGCGTGTCTCTCGGTGAGGCCTTTGTTACGCGAATAGTCTATGTCGTGCTCGCGACACACCGCGTCCAATGGATTTACACCCGGATCACCTCTAGCCAATCGTTCTCGCAAACGAGTACCCGGACCGCAATACTGATAGCCGGGAATGTGCAGTTCGAACGGAAGTGCACCTATCGTGCGATTAAACAGACCTCTACCTGTTTTTATTTTTTTCGTTGACATTCGCCACAATTCTTAATCAACGGGGCAGGACCGTCGACGTGCGTTTCCTGCCACGGTTGATTGTAATCTTTGTCACAGCGACGATAGGTCTGAACCTCCAAATCCACCTTTATATGCTCCGGAAGCTTGTCCCACACGTAGTGGACGTGATCACCGCACACTTGCAATAGAACGGCTTTCGGCACGAATTGCAGCTGTTCGGCGCTAAAATCGCGAATGTCCGAAGGTCTCGACAGCAGGACGAACATCTTTGCGACTGAGCGATTCGCGATGCCGCGCACCTATAAATAGACGTTCGAACGAGAAAGTTCGATTCAGTCGTACAAAGTGTGAGGAAAAAAATGAGATTCGTGCGACAACCGTTGACGATTCGCGTGACGAATTGTGACGACAGATCACGGTCGATGGAGGGCAACGCGGATAGGCGCAGACATGGTACGATGCTGCCGACTACTATACGCGCGATCATTTGCAGTCCCTCGAATTGCGGTAAAACCAACGTTCTGATAAGTTTGCTGGAAAGTCCGCACGGTGTACGTTTCGAGAACGTGTACGTGTACTCGAAATCGCTGCAACAACCGAAATACCGATATCTCGAAAATTTATTGACATTGATCGACGAAATCGGCTATTACACCTTCTCCAATAACAGTGACGTCATTCCACCGAGCGACGCGTGTCCGAACTCGATATTCGTCTTCGATGACGTGGCGTGCGATAAGCAAGACACTGTGAGAGAATATTTCTCGATGGGCAGGCACTCGAACGTCGACTGCTTTTATCTCTGTCAGACGTACGCGAGAATACCAAAACATCTGATACGCGACAACGCGAATCTGCTTATCCTGTTCAAACAGAACGGTACTAATTTGAAACACGTGTACAACAATCACGTAAATACCGACATGTCGTACGATGAATTTTGCTCGTTGTGCCACGATTGTTGGCAATGCAAGTACGGATTCGTAGTGATAGACAAGGACAGCGCGCTTTCGAACGGTCGATACAGAAAAGGCCCGGATTCAACGTGTTCGCGATACCGCAAAAGCGGTCAGTCGTCGCCGATACGTCGTCGAAGGTGAAACAACGTTAGTGTTACGGAGAGAGAGATCGACACTCTGCTTTGTTTTTCCCCCCCTACGATGGCTGCGATCGACGGGAGCGAGACGATTCGCGAACGCGAGAAGATCGTGGAAGATATTGCGAAAACGAGTAATTCAATTCGCAAGAAACTTCGCGCTTTGAAGACCGGTAAGAAGAGAAGGACATTGAGTTGGACACGCACTTTAAACCTCTCATCGAGCCGTTGAAAAAGATCGTCGACAACTCGAGCTTGATCGCGGTGAAAAAAGAGGAACCGACCGCGACGGAGAGCGACGCTGACGTGAAAATAGAACCGCTATCCGTTCAACAGCGCGAGAAGGAGGTGGAGGATGCTACACCGAAGAGAAAGAAGAAACGATTAGACTCCTGGTCGGATCTGTCATCGACACCGCGTAAATCTAATCAATCGATTGTACTACCGATAACCTCTACACCGACGCTAACCGTGCAAAGTACAAGTCCCAAATTTCTCAAAATCGTGGATGTTTTCGAAACCACGGACGACTCGATCGGGACGACCGTTCAAAAGCGGTTGCAAACGTCGAAGGGTCGAGAATGGTTTATAGAATCGTTGCAAGATCACTTGAGTCCCCTGAGCCGAATTTACATCGCGTCTGTTTTGAGCGCCTATCCAACGTTCGACATCGCATACGGTGTTTATCTCGGCAAGAATGATTTGATGCTTGGTAATAAACGTTTTGACGTGGATAAAGCGGATAACATTTATATCGACGGCGTACGATACGCTGGCACACCCGGTATTTACGAGTTGATCTTCAAGAAAATACCCGATTACGATATCTACACGGAAGACGATATGCAAAAGTACAGGAACATACTGTTGGCAACGAGTGCTCATAAATACAAGCACGATCCTCACGAGCGATTAAAGGGTAATGGGGGATACAAGTATACACAGGTAATCGCACCGTTGATGTCGACCAAATCCAAGAAGAAAAAATCCGGAAAGGGATTATTCGCGCCTCGCGCGATGACGACCCGACAATAAGATCGACTATGTGCACTGGGACGACCCCAACGAGCTGGTGGATCGTCTGCGATTACTCGACGCTTCGCGTCAAGCTGGCAACAATGTCCACGACAACGAGATCACGTCGATCATCAAGGAACTTCGCGAGGCTGGGCTTATTATAAATTAAACGGCGCGACAGCGATCCGTTCAATCGGTGTCGAAATGCCGATCAATAAATTTGGATTGTTCGAGCAGCGCGAAGACGCGACGAATATTATTTCGTACTATCGGTGGAGCGGATTAGTGAGAAATTTCGTGCGCGACAACGCTCTGTGTCGCGCCGCCACGGACTTTAACGCAAGGTCGCGCAAGGTTCGTCGCGTAGCGCAACCTGAGACTGACGGTGACGCGGTTAACAAACTATACGTGGATCGGTGCGTTAAAAGTCTGACAGATCAACGGAAAGAGTCAGACGAGAAGCTGACTGCGTTTGAGAAGGATGTGCGAGCGTTACAGGCTGCGGTAAACAAGCTTTGACGTGTGAATATCGTTAGATTGGAAACGGCTAATGAATGATGAAGAAACGGTTCAGCAGAAACGACTATCGAACGGCGACGAGTGAAGAGAAGCAACGGTTAATTAACGACGGCGACGTACAGCAACAAACGATTCGGGAATGGTTGTTGGACGGCTGTCTAACGGTTTAAGGACGGTTGTCGAACGGTTCAAAAACAGCTCAGAAACAATTACGAGCGGTTTAGAAACAGCTGCGAACTACGCGGAGACAGGAATGGCTATAAACGGCTAAAGAACGCCGACGACGACGACGATGAGTGACAAGAAGCAGTTAACTGACAACAACGAACGACAACGAACGGTTCGAGAACAGCTCAAAATCGTTTCTGAGCGGTTCAGAAACAGCAATGAACGACGCAGAAACATAAACAGAAACGGTTACGTACAGCCGAAGAACGACGACCGACAGCCAACGAAACGCTAACCGAACATGAGACCGTTAAAATCGACCGATGTGGATAAAAATATCGAAAAGCGACGGTTGGTGGACGAATTGCACGCACCGGCGAGAAGAAATTTTCCCCGCAGACACGTCATAGTGCGAGGGTACGACGACCTGTGGCAAGCTGATATCGTCGAGATGCGTCCGTACTCGCGTTTCAACGGAGGCTACCACTACATACTCACCGTCATCGATGTGTTGAGCAAGTACGCGTGGGCCGTGCCGCTCAAAGGTAAAGATGGCAGCGAGACAGCTGACGCTATCGCTGAGATAATTCGAGATAGCGGGAGATGCCCTAGTAATCTACAAACCGACATGGGGAAGGAATTTTACAACGACGTGCAACGTCTCGCGAAAAAACACGACATCAATCATTATTCCACGTATCGGTGATGAAGGCGTCGGTCGTCGAGCGATTCAATCGCACGTTAAAAAACAACATGTGGAAGATGTTTACGCTCAATGGAACTTACAAGTGGTTTGACGCGTTATCACGACTCGTGTCGGATTACAACGCGCGCAAGCATCGAACGATCGGCATGCGACCCGTCGACGTTACCCCCGCGATCGCCGAAAGACTCTTGGCTACGGTGTACAGCGCTATAAAGATCGCGGGCCCGGCAAAGTTCAAAACGGGCGACTCGGTACGCGTCAGCAAATACAAGACAATTTTTGAGAAGGGTTACACGCCGACTTGGACCACCGAGGTGATTAAGATCGTTAAAGTGCAGCATACCAATCTCGTAACCTACCTACTCGAGGACTATCGTGGAAAATCCGTCGCTGGAGCGTTCTACGAGTACGAGTTGCATCGCGCGACTTATCCTGACGTGTATCTCGTAGAGAAAGTACTGCGCAGGAGGGGCGACGAGGTTTACGTGAAATGGCTGGGATTCGATGGATCGCATAACTCATGGATACACAAGGACAATGTGATTTAATTCGTGCAAACTGTATTTTATTCTTAATATAAAAATGATACAAGTAATACATGTAAAGTATATAATAAAAAATATTAAATATTAAATACATGTGGGATATCTTTATTAATATCCCTTCTCATATATAATACGATATTTACTCGAGGACTACTGTGACTTTCGTGCTTCGTGGCGCCATATAGGGGGGTGTCGTCACAACATTCTGGGAGAGGACCCCGGAAAACGCACTGTTCCCTCCGGGACCACGTTATACATACATACATACATACATACATTATATACATACATACATTATATACATTATATACATTATATACATTATATACATTATAT